ATCATATCATTATGAGTACCCGCTCAATATCTAAATTATAAATATATGTATATATATAATTTACAATATGAAAGAGTTTACATGTAATTCAAAATGGTTTAGTTGTAATTTGGTTGTCTCGTATCCAATATGTGGTTGAGTTCCCACTGTGTCAATTTTATAAAATAAATTGCCTCTTTGTTGGGTCAAATGTTAATGAATTTTTTTTTTTTTTTTGACATACTCTCTAATCTTAACAAATTAAGAGGATTACAGTTTTACTCTTCCGTTTTTCCTCCCATTTGAAAAGTCAAATTTTAAATTTCGAATCTGAAATATTATCTATAATTCTAATTTTTGAAGTCAAATTTAGTCAAATTAGAAGCATAGTTTTACCAAACTATACCATTGTCGAGGAAAAAATTGTTGTAACTAGAAACTAATTATACTAAGTTATACAATTATACCAAATTATATTTAGCTAATAATACAACTTGATATAATTATTTTTCTGATTTTTTGTTTTACTTCTAGGTTTTTCATCTGTTCTTGTAACTCCACACACACATACACACACACACATACACACACACACACACACACACACACACACACATATATATATATATATATATATATATATATATAAAACATGAAGGAAATCAAATGTAAAAAAAGAAAAATCAACCAATAAATTGAGAAAAAAGTTGAAGAAGATGAACAAACATGTTAATGCTAGATAGAGGAATATAATACTGATCCAAAATTTGAAAGAACAAAATGATGAATATAAGGGAAATCAGAGCAGAAAAGAAAAGAAAGAAATTAAATAAGAAAAAAATCAAAAGAAAAAGAAAAAAGAAGATGAGAAGAGATGATATAAGAAGAAGGATGAAAAAAAATCTTAGAGAAACAAAATCGGAAAAAAAAAGAAACGGAGAGAATAAAAGAGACTGGGAAAAACATTAGACATGGTAGAATTAGGGATATCAAAATTAGAACTATGACATAAATTATAAATAGTTGAATTCATGAAGGTCTAAAAGATAATTTCATCATTTTTGTATTAAATTAAATCAAAATTCTAAGTTAGTACAATACATACATGAACATTTTATTTTTATATTTCTACATATCTGGATTTTCAATATTCGTCACTTTTGACCACAATTACGTGAGTAACTTTAGCAATTCTCAAAATGATTTCGTCTTAATACTAAAAAAAAATAGATTCAAACCCACAAAATATGTCGTTTTAAAAACTAATTTCGTTGAAATCTTCTCATTTCACGGGAATAATCGCTAAACATAAATTAATTTTGGGAATATTAGGGTTTCAAATGTAATGGGAATTTGAAGATTTGAACTTGAGAATTTCAAGCTATAGCAATTTTAGTTGTTAAACTGAAAAACGAAGAAAATGTGTCCAGTTCTTCTTCTTCATTCTTGGGCTTTTTTATTATTAATTTTGTTCGTATGTGCATTGTTGTCGGAAGTTTATGATTTCAATTATTTTTTTCTTTGTTTTACTAGAATTGTAATTGTTTTAATTTTTGCTAATCGAGTCAAAGGATGTTTTCACTTCTTGTGGTGTATTATTCAGTTATTACTACAAAGAAAAGTGGGAAAATTCATGTAACTGTTTGAATATAATATAAGCGAAGTAGAGATTATTTATTGTGATTTGTGTGAGCTTTTACCTATTTGGTGAATGTATTAGGCATGTCATTATGTAACCATAGGATATAGTACAAACTTCTGAGAGTTTTGAAGAGTTTAAGATTATGTTTAATGGTGGCTAAAGTTCTCAGAGAATTTGTGAAATAGCTATGTGGACGAAAATGGTTGATGTACTTTGGTGTTGCATGATATATGTTGTTTTGAATGTAATTCTTTTGGGGTTTTTTCCGGGTTTTTAAGTTGTAAGTTTTTGTTGATTCCTGTCCTAGGATATGTTGGTATATCTTTTATTGGTTAGGATTTGTTGGTGGTGATTTGTTATTTCTATCGGATTTGTAATTGATCATGGTTAAACTATTTTTTTTCTCATAAACTATGTTTTATGTTTGACTTGGTTAATTTTATTGTAAACTAGAACATTTGTCCGCGCTACGCGCGGATAACAACCGTAAATATATTTTATTTTGATCTTTAATTATAATGATCTATTTTTCTTATGTTATAAAGGTTATATGAATATTTTTGGCCATTTTAATCTTAATTTTGCCATTTTTTGGGTGTTTTGCCATAAATAAATAAATTGCTTTAATTTTTGATATTGAGAACTTGGTGTGCAGTCTATGTAAACCAAAAATATGATTTGCATGACTAATGTTAGAAAGTTGAATGTGCTTATTATTGTTATAAAGGAACATTAAAAATGTTTAAATATAAAAAAAAATTAAACTAATGTATGAGATCAATAGTTTGTGATAATATGATAATGCATATCAAAGAGAGGACTGGTAGCTTCAATTTGCGTTGTATCCTAAAAAAGTATTATCTAGCATGTAAGTTCAATTTAATTTAATTTCCTTATATATTTCATATTTAAAAATAAAAAAAACTATGTAAAATAGTATTATTATACGATAAAGTTTTCTAAATACATTTTGCGACCAAACATAAATTTATAAATTTCTATTGTAAAAATTTTATTAAGCACACAACCATTATCATAAAATTAAATAATATATAACAGTAAACTATATTATTCAACGATAAATCTTATTATATAAATTATAACATTGTAGTATTAAAAATTCGCACGACCGTGGAAGCATGCGTCTAAGGCTTTTCATTTGCCTGCATTTAAGTTCTTACACTATTATGAGTATAAAATATAGTATTTAATAAATTAATTTATAACCAGTTAACTCATTAGTTTGATAAGAAGACTAAATAATTTCATTCAAAGTTACTTAATGATTCTAAATTTGTGAATGGTATAGATAGTTAGATTAGTTATTTAAACGAAACAATTAGTATTATGCGCCATTAAATAAATAATATCTTGGAACATGTGCATGTCCATAGTATCAGATGTACTATAGTATGGAAATGTTTTGTAGACTTTCTTTGACAGATGGGTTTGTTTATTTTTGGTTTCGTTTCTTATAATAATTAATCACAATTAATATAGATTACTTGTGGAAAATTATCAAAATTGTAGATGAATTTCGCAGGGTTATAGTGTGGTCATCATTCTTTTTTTGGTAAAATGTTAAATGTGTGGTCATCATGTTGTACCAGTTTATTGAATGTTCGAGGATCTATCGTCTGTGTTTATTTTTTTCAAATGAAGTTGTCATCTTTGGGCATGTCTGAGTTTTTTTTTTAAGTGTAAAGGATGGAAAAGTCCCAAAAACATACCACAAACTAACTATTTTTTTTCATCAAATTATGATATATTGCATTTTCAATCACAAATGTTCACAAAGACATACATATGATTACATACGTTTCCTTTAGCTACCTATGCCATACAAAGCATCGTGATCTCAAAAAATACTAATCACCTAGACTCTTTACTACAACAAAAGACTATAAAATTCAAACAAAGGAACCACTTTTATCATCCTCAAATACCTCCACGAGCCAGGAAGGGCAACCTGAGGCAACATAAGATTGTGCAAATTGACTTTTTGTTGCAGATTGAGCAATGAAAAAAGGTCCTCTATTTTAATATCTGGATTCTACACAGACCTTCCAGTCAAAATATTTTCCTGCTTCTTTTCTGATCAGACCACTTTGAAGTTTAAAAGATGGCCACTCCTTTGGTCTTTCAATTGCACCAATCATATGTTTAGATTCCGCACCAATGACCACCTTAGTCACCTGGTGATCCTGCATACTTTTGATCGCCCCCATTAAACCTTCATACATCGCAGAACCATTATCCCTACAACCAACAAAGGATCTTTGCTATGCAACAACACTTCACCAGAATGGTCTCTTAGCACCCACGCACATCATGTTACCAATATAAAAACCACCATAGACTAACTATTTTAAAACAATAGTTTCTAATATTATTATGAATCTGGTTCAACCTAAAGAAGTATCTGTTATATCCAAAGTGAAAGAAACTGAGGATAAAATAACCACACTAAGTCTCGTCTACCTTGTGAGCCAATGATAAACAACCTGACCTTTCTGTCTTTCAAGGTTAAGAAGCAAATACCTTGGGATTTGTTTTGGCATAAGGAGTTAAGCATGGATTCAGATCTACCAGAGCCATTCTATCAGGGCTGCCGTAGCTGAATTCCTGTTTTGCATTCAATAAAAATAAGACACCCTTGCGAGTATACGTTTTTTTGTTTTTTTAAATCAGACTCTTCAAAGTTCTTTGCTTACCAGTGAATCATAGGAAGAGGTCTGTGCTTGCCAGTAACAGCTTTCTGATATGTATTTGTTTGCCTTCACCTAGTAAGAAAGAGCCAATTGTGTTTATTATCAGATAATACTACTTAGGGCAGAGCTATATATAGTACTGAACTGTTGCTGAAGCAATGCCTTGAATAAACTTCCCAAGAGTAGCAACTCAGTTAACCATTCATCATACTCAAGATTCAAGTCTCATAAGCTACATGATAGATTCATAAAAAAACATAATTATTCTTTTATTAATTCTCCTTTATTTCACCGTTTACAAGAAGAAGGTAAGATCAAAATGGAAAGAGAAACTATTGAACAAATGATTCTAGACACCCTCTTGTGCACCCTAAACTTCTTTTTTAAGCTTAAGGTTAGCTCTCTGACTAGCTGACTCAACTATATTTTATGAACTCTCAAGTGTCAGCACAGGGCCGTAGTATACTACAAACAACCTAAGGTAGTTAACTGACACAATGCTCACAACATCACATACATCCACTAATTAGGGAAACAAAAAAACAGAAGTACCTCGGCAAGGTCTTTAGCAATGCATTGGAGCTGGCCATTGAGTGAGAGAACCTGTTTTTAAAAGGTGAGGGATGATCTGCCTTGCCTCATTTAGCTCTTCGCTGTTCTTGATTGGATTAGCTTTGTAGATTTGACTGTTGAGTATCTAGTTGCTCTTGATCTGGTTGAGGAACAGAAAAACCACCACCACCACCATTCATTCTAGCTAGAGCTTCAGCAAACATTTGCTGTTGTTCAGCTTCTGCTTCCTCCTCCGTCATCTCTGCTCCGATGGTCATCTTTACGCTCCTCTGTGAATCTTGCTGCACAACAACTTCGCAAACACCAATTCAAAGTTTATATATATATTCTCAAGTCTTCTGACATTAAGGTATACGTGTTACCATGGTTTTGTATTTATGTTGCTCATAAGCAGTGTAGACTTCTTCAACGTATTCGCCAAAGCCAAGAACCTGAAGTGCTTTGAGTACTTGCTCAGGTGCGATTGTTCGTTTATCTTTGTTACATACTTGATTATGCTTACGAAATCAAATTTATAAACTCTGAAATATACAAAAAGTTAGAAGACAGAGCCAAACAATGATTAAAAAAATGAGTGATGATTAAATCTTATTTTACAAACACAACACTCGATGAGAAGATCTTGAGCATCTCTAGCAACACTAACATCTGCTGGTAACATCTCCTTTACAATCTTAGTCATTGTAGCTGTAAATTTTACATTAACAAAGATATTATTAATCGCTAAACCTTAAAGAGTGAAAAACAACAATCGTTACCAATTGATCTATCTAGAGAAAGGATTAGAGGAGGAAGACGAACCTTTTGGAAGCGATACATCTTTCTTGGATTTTCCAACTATATCCATCGGATCCATCTTTTTAACTCTCTTCAGAAGTTGAAACTTCCTCAAGTTATCCAACCAAGCCCATCTACACCCGCTGATGAAACATCAAAATATTTGATTTCGCTTCCATGAGAAGCATATAGAATGTCTCATTACCTAAATCAAAAAACATAAAATATATATAACCAAAATCAAAACAAAGAGATGAAATTGAGAGTGCCAAAAAACAAAGAGAGACAGAACCTGTCTTGAAACAAAGAGATGAAACTGTTTCTGTCCCAACGTCAATGGTGAACTGGACATATATCAAACCAGCAATTGCAACCATCCTGTAATCAAAGCGAAAGGAAATCATGAAGAAAGAATTAAAGCAATTAGGGATCGAAAGTAGTGAGGCGAAAGGAAACCTATATCTGGAAGGAGATTACAGAAAAGAGATGGTGAAGAAAAAGTAAAGAGTAGGTTTGATTGTTAATGGTGATGAAGATCGCGAGAAGGGGAAACAGAGAAGGTGAAGCCAGAGAAAGCGAATCATGTTTATTATCTCAAGCAGAAGTGACGTGACAAATTTTAACTATTTGATTGGTTGATTATTTGATCTAACGTGGACAGCTCAAGAAGGCTAGAATAAGCCCTTTTAATTATAGTAGATGATCAAGTCAATGTCTTAACCTTCATACAAATGACAAAACAACAATTCAATGTCAGAAACTTTATACAAACGATACCAAACAACATTGTATATGTTTTACACTTATTTGAAATGACCAAATAACTTTAGCACAACTACACATCCATAGTAGATTATGTAAATATCAAATACATGCATGACAACAAACCATACATAACCACAATTTTCAAGATCTTTAATTTTCTAATGCAATAACTTATCTTCACCTCAAAAGCTTCAACTGTATATTTCATGTCTTTACTTCCCTTCTCATAACTCTTCACAATGGTTTCACAAGTGTGAGTCCCACATTTTAGTTGAGAAATCTTTGATTCATAAGCTCTTATAACATTCTCTAATCTAGCAGTCGTTTATTTGCTTCTCAACTACCTCTTGAAACTTTTCACCAATTGAGCTTTTGTCATCATCACAAAATCGAACACATCACCAAACATAGGAATATACTTCATCATAATACAATCATAAACATAGCTAATAGGGCTTATTGTCTCCAAATTTATCGAACAAACACGGAACAATCTTCCAGAGTTTCAGACTATTTTTAATGTCTCGAGAACTGATGAAACACCAAAATAGCAAAATGTGGATATTTCGTTTCGCTTGGTGATGACTCGACCTCCCGGATCAGAAGCAGACATGATCAATTATCTAATAAGCCCTAATGTTCCCTCAACTCCTATATGTTTTCGATGATGAAAGAAAGAATATGAATTAAATGAAATTTCAAAAGACTTCGTTTAATGAGTGTCGATCTATTTAAAAAATAATAATGTTTTTTTGAAAATGTCTTCAGTTAAAATTTAACTCATGAAATCATGGTCAAAGTTGGTTTACAACAAAATACACCAGTTCGGATATGCAGACACGAAAAATGGACCTTAGAACTCTGGGAAGAAGTGATATTTATACGAACTGCTCATTTATGAAAAAAATGTTATCCTTTTCCCCTTCTATCTATTCAATCCAAGTTCGAGAAGCAACAATAAAAAAATTTGTATTCTGAAATTTAAGACATACATATCGGTTTTGGATAACTGATCGGTTCCATTAGAAACCTCGAACCAAACAAATATAAGTAATGTGAATCATCAAATAAAATTGATTTAACAGAAACTGATCAGAACTGATTCTTTTCAAGTGGTTCCGCATCAGATCATCAGTCGTGGTTAAATACCCATGACTACGTAAAACAGAAGTTAAAACAAAAAAAACAAAAATTGATATAGCTTTTAAAACTTAGGTTATATAGATACCTATATTTATGATATGACTTCCATATTCACGATATCATAATTAGACTCACTTTCTCCATGCATGAGAGCACAGTTCCATTAACATTTTTTAAATAAGATTATATGACACTAGTGCTGTTCTTTTCTCTGACGTTGTGATTAGATTTTGCGTCAAGAAACTACAACTACTCCCACGGCAAATTGACGGCTGACGGGGAAAAAGTTGTTTCCTTTTTAGCTACAGCGGCCAACAAAAACTGATAAATCTGATGCTGGAAATAGCGGCGTCCGCGGCTCTGCATCATTTTGTCTCTGGAATTTGTTGGCGATTGATGTTTTTTGCAAAAAAATGTTCAGTTGACCTGTGTCATAGTGTATTATTTTGACGTAACCGCTGATGGCGCGTCTTATAAAAGAACAGGGCTATTGGCAGCAATGTATTCCTAGCAATCCTCACTTAAACTTTAGAGCCACTGGATCTGAGCAGTCGGCCCATTAAAGCCCAAACTAAACGTCTCAAATGGATTCCCAAACCCGAGAAAAAATAGTACAATTCTCGGGTGGGGTCAGGTCGGGTCGGATCTCAATAATTCGGATATTTTTAGTACCCGTTTCAGTTGCACACGCGTGACACCGCCTTACCCGGACATCCCTTATAAATCTTGAAAAGCTGTATTTTCCTCTTTTCTCTAAAAATGTCCCGATTGCTGTCGAAAACCCTAATCCCCCACGGAAGATTCTTCCTCCGTCGCTTCAACGAGCCGGCGTTAACGACAGCGGCTCCAAGCGTCGTCTGTTTCAACCGCCGTCCATTTTCATCAAAACCGCATCTGATCGAGATCGACCTCGATTCTTCCTCATCAGCGACATCCAGGGCCGAAGCCGAGGCCGCGGTTCTCAAGAAACTGAACGAGTTCGTTAGGAGGATCGTGGTTCAGAATTCGACTCCTGATTGGCTCCCTTTCGCGCCCGGATCCTCCTTCTGGGTCCCACCGCATCAAAACACTGCCGCCAAGATCGCCAATTTGGTGGACCAGGTGACGCATCCGTTGACGGAGGAGGAGAGTCTCTCTTTTTCTTCTCCTTCTGGCTGGCCCTGTTCCTCTTTCTTCATTCCTCCAGGTACTTCCTTTTAAATTGTATATTATTATTAATCCCTGATTTTTCTTAATTTAGGGTTTCACTTGTTTTTATGGTTTTGAGTTTTAAAAATGGTTCCTTTGTGTAAATATTCTTCTGCCATGGGTGGTAAATGCTCCTTCCTTGTGTCTCTGATAAAAAAAAAAGTTTTGATTTTGGAGATTAGATCTTTAGGGGTGATACGTTTAGACAGTGAAGGGGGCATTATGTCTTTTAGAATTCTTGTCTGCCTGAACATTATAATGTAGTGGAACTGGTATCTTTTGTATTCTCTTTGCCCTGATATGTATGGTGATACTCAGTTCTGTCTCGTGTGATAGATGATGATTCCTCATCCTTACAAGAGGTATGAAGTTTTGATTTTGGAGATTAGATCTTTATGGGTGGTATGTTTAGACAGTGAAGAAGACAGTATGTTTTGTCTTCTGGAATTCTTGTCTGCATGAACATATAATGTAATGGAGCTGATATCTTTATATTTGCTATGTAGTATGTACTGATATGCGTGGTGATTGTTTTTTTTTAATTGAAATGATATAGATGATGACTCTTCATCTAAACAAGAGGTGGAAGGTAGCACGGAGTTCAACGTTCCGGGAAATGAGATGCTGGAAGTCAAGCTAGCGCAGTTTCCAGATCCAATCTACTTGTTGAAACATGGAGATGATGATGATGTTGAGTGATTTTACATTTCCAGCTTGCGATGAAGTCCAGTCCTGATGCGTTGTTTGCATAGACAGGCTTGGAAAAAACAGATGATTCCCGAGACTGATGAGGTTGTGTTTGTATATACAGTTGCAAGCCATGGAATTATATCGATGTTTTGGCTGTCTTAACGCTGTCTGTGAACTATATTTTATTAAGTTCGATATAATTAAAAGCAGAGCAGACGGTTGAACTTGAAGCTCCTACTGCTTGTTATAATTTTAACCTTCGTTGTCACCTGTTTATAATTCTATTATACTTTGTGTCTCTGTACTTTCTTCTTGTCTTTATTTGTATGGCGTGATAACGGAATCTACAACATAGTATCATTGTTTAGTAGGTTAAATGATATCATTTTTAGTTGGTTAAGACCTAATAAGTAATAAGATTAGTTTAGTTTTCAAACTCAGAGAAACCATAAATCTAATGCCCACCATGGAAAGTGAGAAGCATTGACATGACCCTGCCTCTATTCCAACTACATGAATCATGAACCTAATAACAAAAAAATGCTATGTTTGACAAAATGAAATTTGAATTTCGGTATTGAATGTTGATTTAATAATAAACCGACATGATTAGTTTAACGTGCAAGCTCCCATTACCTTCTAAAGAGCAGCAAAATCCTTGAGAAAATAATCAAAGGATTGTCCTCTATCTAGTAATGACAATTTTAAGCTCTCTTTCATTGATAAACTTTCTTCTTCTACTCTTTCTTGTTCAGGGTCAACACCAATCTGTTATCTTAAAACAGCCTCTACTCTGTTAATTCTTCAGATGTTAATGAGTTATGCTTTTTTCAATATGATTAATATTTTTATATCTCCCAGGTTTTGTCAGTATAGATTGTGGTATACCTGATGATTCGAGCTACAACGACGAGAAAACATACATAAAGTATGTTGCTGATTCGATCTTTGTTGATCAGGAACAAGCAAGAGCATAGCTCCTGAGCTTAGGGCAGACACTTCTCTTGCAAGACAGTTTCACAATCTAAGAAGCTTCCCTGAAGGTAAGAGAAACTGTTACAAAGTGTGGCCTCAACTAGGTAAAGGATTCAAGTATTTGATCAGAACCCGTTTCATGTATGGAAACTACGATGGACTCGGAAAAGCACCACCGTTTCGATCTCTATCTTGGTGTTAATCTCTGGGATTCCATTGTTCTTGACAATTCAACAACAATAGTATCCAAAGAGATCATACACACTCCCTCTCTAGACCATTTTCATGTTTGTCTTGTTGATAAGAACAGAGGAACTGCTTTCTTGTCTATGCTGGAAGTAAGATTCTTGAAGAACAATACTTATGAGACTCCTTATGAAGCTCTCATGCCTTTTAGGAGATGGGATTTGGGTTCTATAAGTAATCTTCTGGCCAGGTAACAAAAATCTTGATGTTTTAAAAAAAAAAAAAAAAAAAAAAAAAAAAAAAATCTTGATGTTTTTAAGGCTATCTGTCAAAGTACCATAAATTACGTTTTTTTCACAGGAGCACACATATACGAAAGAGTGAATTAGCTACATACTTTATAGATACTGAGATACCATAAAAGAGGGAGAAAAGGGTATATACCTAATTTGGTGGTTTTGTGTGTACACAATGCAAATACTCTAAAAGAAAATGCACAAAAGAGGCAATGACCTAAATACATTTTAAAATAAATTCCATTAAAGAACCTTATACTCACCTAATTTTCCATTAAAGAACCTTAATTATATTCAACTAATTTTTGCTGATGATTCCATATTCTTTTGTCAAGCAAATGAAAGGAAATGTTCCCATCTTAAGAAGGTGTTTGACAAATATGAAGCGTGTTCTGGCCAGAAAATTAATACGGCGAAGTCAACTATCACTTTTGGATCTAGAATCTCGATGACTTACAAGGCCGATTAACAACAGTTTACAAATCAACAACAGTTTTACAAATCAACAACCAAGGTGGTCAAGGTAAATATCTTGGTCTACCTAAAGTTTTTGGAAGGAAGAAGAAAGATATATTTAGTTTTATTGTGAACAAAGTGAAAACTAGAACATCAGGATGGAGTTCGTAATTTTATCACAGGCTGGTAAGGAAATTTTACTCAAATCTCCAGCAATTTAAATGCATGTCTTCAGTATGTCTTCATACAAGATTCCTCAACAAACATTAGCGAAGCTCACTAATGTCATGTCTGGATTTTGGTGGGAGAAAGCTCCAGACCAAAAAGGAATCCCATGGATTTCTTGGCAGATAATGCAACTTCTAAAACGGGGTGGTGGTAAGAATCTGGAAATTTTAATAATGCTTTACTTGTACGATAGGCCTGGCGTCTTGTTATACATTTTGATTCCCTCTTTGCTAAACTGTTAAAATCATTTATATTGATTCTAAGAATTTGAAAAGTCTAATGTTATTGGTTTATTGATTCTTAAATTCTTACTAAAATCTAGTGTTATTGGAGTGGTAATTTTATAATTCTCTACAAAAATTTTTGTTATTCAAAAAGTTTACATTTTAATAATTCTATAAATCTATTAAACTTGTGTTATTGAAAGCTAATTCTTAACCATTTCACTCATAGAACAAGATTTTAAGAATACTACATATATACCTAAGATTCTTAAAATCATTATAGTAATTTATTTTTCTAGATTTTCACAATATACACAATTCTCTACAACTCTTTCCAAATTCAACAAATCTCTCAACTTTTAAAATCAACAAACTCTCTATAAATTTTACTCCCACTAACACCCTTTTATTATCGTGACTGTCACGTTTTGGACGCAAATAAGAAAAAGAAGCAGTCTTTTGGTTGGGCATCAATTTTGGAAGGGGTTCATTTGTTGAGAAAAGGAAGTCGTTTCATTGTTGGAGATGGTAGGTCCATCAAATTATATGAGGATCATTGGCTACCAACTGAACCGCCAAGATGTGCTACAAGAATATCAAGTCTCAGTACACTCAAAGTCTCTGATTTGATTACATCTAATGGTCTGTGTCAAAGCTGAAGAAGATATGCGACTTATGCACTCCATCTATATTCCTCAAACCGGATCGTGTGACCCATTTATATGGCAGTATGATAAGTCTGGAAGTTACTATGTAAAGAGTGGGTATAAAAAAGAAATGCAAGAATTTGGAGAAACATATCTGGAGATTTTACCTCCTCATGGTGACCCTGCACTTATAATGCAGATCTGGAGACTTAATATTATTCCCATATTAAAGCATTTTCTATGGAGACTTCTCTCTGAAGCCATTGGAACAAATACAAGAATGAACACTCAGGGTATACATATAGACAGCACATGTCCAAGATGTGCAAACTCTCCTGAGACTACTAATCATTTGTTCTTTATGTGCCCTATCTCACAACAAACTTGGCGATCAAATCAAGCCACTCTTGGATTCTCGTCGTCAATCACGAATGACATAAACTGTTGGGATGTCCTAAAATCATTTGTACTTACTCTAGTCAAAGTCGTAGTGTCGAAGTTTGACAATCGTATAAAATTAGGTGGTTATAATGTTTTGCTAGAAACCGTTTATAATCTATGGATTGAGAATTCATTACTAATTGTATATGATCCTATAGGGCACACACCTAAACAAACTGAATCATTTATGTATTAGGTTTTATACAAAATATTATATATGATATAATATTGGATTCAAACCGACGTCCCATATAGATTATGATCTGAATGAGATACATATATATATATATATATATATTCACATACGTGATGTGTCTATAAAAAGGTTAACAATACTTTGAATTATATAATGATGGTCATTATTACTGGACAAAGTTAAAAATTGGCTAAGCCCATAAGAAAACCTAATTGGATTAGGTTACGTGCTTCACATATGTATATATGTCGTAATTATATTATGATAAGAGTCTGTATGTTTTTCTTGAGCCGCAACCTAATGCTATAAAGACGAAGTGTTCGTTGAGTTTTGAGATAAGTCTCAACGGTACTAGCATCCCGATTCGATTTAGTTTGTATGCGTATGGATATCGGTAGAGGCACGACGTTTGGAGTGCTTGAAATCTCGACTTGGTTTATTTCTCTTTCCGCTACGAATAACCAGGTATATTCGAAACCCTAAGATCTAGATTTAATTCAGTATTTGCATGAGATCTAAACAAATTGAATTCATAGATTGATTTATAAATTGTTATAAATTGGTATGAATTCCTACATAAGCACCAACATGTCTCTGCTGTTTGGAATCCAAAACAACGCAAGCCTCACACAGGAACAAAAACTTACACCTCTATGGGTGTTTTAGAGAATTTGGAAGTCTCGTAATGAGCTTATTTTTCAAGGACGAATGGTACAACCTATGCAGGATGCCGGCTTTGTTATTGCAGAGGTAAGAGATTGGATTGTAAAAAAAGACAAAGAAGGTTCAACCATTGAGGACTTTGTCCACACGTTGTGTTCAATGGAAGCCACCACCAAATCCATATTTTAAATGCAATTTTGATGCTTCAGTCTGTAAGGACATGAGACAAGTAAAATCTGGTTGGATTATTCGTGATAGTTATGGTTGTGTTCGATATTGGGCAAGAGCATATCTTGGGAATGCATCTTCACCACCTGTGGCAGAAAGTATGTCTTTATTAGCAGTGACACAGTTGTTTGCTTGGGATAGACACATATGATCTTTGAGGGTGATTGTGAAGTTCTTATTAAATCACAACTACAATCTGTGAAAGACTACACAATTATCAATATCTGCGCAGATATCAGAAATTGGGGATGCAAGATAAAGAAGGTTCGATACAATCATGTTCTCTGGGAGGCAAATTCTACTGCACATACGATAGCAACAAAACAACTAGGTTCTGAGTTGTTTATTTCTTCCTCTTGTTATATACCTTTCTGGTTATCACAAGTCCTTTCTAATGACTATAATCATATCTAATAAAAGTCAAATTTTGTGGAAAAAATATTTAGAAAAAAAAACATAATTTTTTTGAAATCGAATCAAATATTCTCTTTTAAAATTTAAGTATTTCTTTTTAAATTCTATACCCCAAATTCCATCTTCTCAAATCTAAATCATAAATTTAAGTTCGTTAATCATATATAAATATCTATTTACCTGTTTAAAATATTTTGGTTATTTTGACCCCTATATGATATATTTTGATAAAACAAATGTTTAAGATAATGAATAATTTGCGAAAGACAAGTTGATATAATACAAATGATATAAGTTTATTATTCTACATTTATTGACCATATAGTATAGTATGTGGAGAGGGGGAAAAGGGATGGAAGGGGGGAGGAGGGAGGGAAGGGATGGANGAGAGAGAGGGGGAGCCATGGAGGAGGAGGAGAGAGAGAGGTTTTATAATTACAATTCTATTATATGATTTGTAAATAGAATATGACAAGAAAATATATATTTATAATTATATATATTTAGTTTTACAATATATGTTTGTTTTTAAGATTTTAAAATCTAGCATATACAGAAAAATATAGGCTTTTTGTTAGTAAATAAGAAATATGAATAAGTAATTTTTAAACTTATAAAGTTAAATAAAAAGAGAGGAGAAGTGATGAAGGACAATATGGCAATATTATATAAATATACTTCTATTTTTTTTTATGGTTCGTTTTTAAGTTTATGTGTATGCTATAATTATAACATATAGTTCCTCTTAATATTTTTGAAATGGAAAAAGACATCACTTTATGTTCTTCAAATGGCAGATACTACTCAACGCGCCAAATTAACGAGACATCACTTTATGTTCCTCTTTATATTTTTGAAATGGACAAAAACCATCACTTTATGTTCTTTACATGGCAGATACTACTCAACGTGCCAAATTAACGAGAAGAGTGATGTTTATAGCTTTGGAGTCGTTCTTCTTGAGTTGATAACAGGGCAGCCTGTAATTGCATCTTCAAGAATAGAGAAGAGGCATATAAGTGATCAGGTTAGCTCAATATTAGCCAAAGGAAATATCAAAGGGATTGTGGATCAGCGTCTGGGAGAGAGATATGAAGTTGGCGCTGCTTGGAAAATGGCAGAATTGTCCCTGGTGTGTACCGAGCCTCTACGTATAGGCCAACATGAGCCAGGTCGTTATGGGGCTGAAACAGATCGTGGATGGCAGAGTGAACGGTGGTAATGAAGACTGTGACTTGACAAAGATGGTTACAGTGAATCTGAACTCCAGTATGATTCCTAAAGCAAGGTAGATGATTCTACGGCAGATGAAGAAGAAACTCTTTTTTTTTTTTGTCATTTGAATCGCATCTCAATACAAAAAATGGATGAATTGGTAGGATAACAATAGTGGAAGAAAAATTAAGAAAATAGCCATCCATTGATAAGTGTAAAAATTTGACATGAAAATGGATCTATCTCTCCTTCTCTGCGCATGACTTTTTGTAAATGAATTGTTTGATATTATGCTATACTATATTTTATAAATAGATAGTACGGAACAATCAAGTCACAAAAATAAAGGCCGGCTCTACTAAAACTTTGTTATAATGAGAGTCTTTGGAGAAGATCACAAGCACCCGACTTACCAGAATACGCATCACAAATAAATAAATAAGAGAAGGAAGACGGAGAAGGCGAGGAAGAAAAGGACATAAAGAACGAAAAAATTGTTGTCTTTTGCATATAGAGGAGAAATAAGGAGTGAGAGAAAAAGAAAGAGAGATAAAGAGATGATATTGCATTTTTATTTTTTATTTTATGTTTCTAAATAGAATGTAACACAACAAAATTGTGTCTCATTTGAATAAAAATCTTAATATATATTTGTATGATAGTATACATTTAAAGTCGCATTTATGAAATATTTTATAAATCTTATAAAAATATTTTTTTAAGTTTTCGAATTATATTCAAATTGGAAAATTTTATAATTTTGTTTTGAATTATTTTAGTCAATTGTTTCAAAAAAAAAAATTCAAATTCAAAAATTCTTTTGATACTTTTTTATTTTGTCATTTTAAATATTTATTTATATTAAAATTTGAAATCCTACTCTCTAAAACTCCACCCTTCAAATCTAAACCATAAGTCTAGATTAGTTAAGCCTAAGATTATAAATGTCTATTTACCTCCTTACAACAAATGATAAATATGGTTAATGTAAAGATGAAAAACATATTAAAAAGGTGCTAGTTTGGACCATTAATCTTTAATTTTTGGCATAGACGCTCTAGAAGAAATATCATTTTGGATGTTTTTTTTTTAAAAAACACTAGATTTTGACCCGCTCAACCGAGCGGGTTTTAATTTCATTTATATATATTTGTTTACATTATTATGGGTATATATATTTTTAATATTAATCACATATTTAAATATTTAATAGTTTTTATTTTGTTTTGTCAACCAAATGGTTATTTTGTTTATGTATATTAGTTTTAGATAATATATTGTTGTATATATATAAATTTAAGATATATTAATTTGTATACATGTAATACATAGTATGTTACCCCTTTTTGACAACATAATATATTATTTTAACATATATATATTTCTATTTATGAAAATAAATATATTAATATATCATTTTAATTTAGTTTTATGATATATTTCTATTTGATGATAATTAAAATTTGAAATAACTGATTTTCGAAATATATTTTTAAAAGATTGCAAAAAGATTTTGTTAGAATCTGTTTCCAAATATTTATTTATATTTCCAATAAAAATAAGATATGAAAAGATATCATAATTAACATATGTAAAATTTATAAAGATAGTTCAAACTAAAAAATCACACATGAACTGAAATGGTGACTTCTGTTTAAATATATAAGATTTTACTCATTTCTGTCTCTTTTGATACTCTGCTAGTGCAAAGTTTATGCAAGAAAGCTAACAAATAATCATGTTAACCACAATTATTTTCTACTAATAAAACCTCAAAAATGATAAATAATTTTTTTTTATCAAACTTGATAAATAATTTTTTTTATCAAACAAACTTAAAAGGACGACGTCACAAATTAAAATTGTTGTAAGGAGGATCCACCCAGGCAATGCGGTTAGATAGATAGTTGCTCGAAGGGAAGCGAGAGCTAATTATATCATCACCAAGAGAATAGTACACGCCAAGGTGCCCATTATGTGATGGGTATATTCTGTTCCTCTCCTCCACCGAGAAACCAGCTCTTGTAAGAGAGGTAGGGTGGCTTGCAAATACTGTCAAGCCACCAAGATCTCTCTTCTCTTCCCACGCATTACGTTCAAGGTTTAATTTAAACATCAATGGGTTCTTGTTGCGGCTTGTAAGCATAACAAATACGTCTCCTTCATGCTCCGTCATCAACACTCGCCTCCCCAAATCTACCTGAAAAAAGGCGGGACAGGGTTCCACTGGAAGAATATTCCAGGTTGCTCTAGACGGGTCGAAAATCCCAATGTTGCTGAAAGTAGTGAGACAATATAACACACCGTTTGAGAAGACACAACTCTTCCATCTACGACCGGGTAACAAGTTCTCAAACCGATGGGTGGTCCATAGGGTTTCACCAGGTCTCCAAGTAGCAATCTCAATATATGAGCAGATACTTCTATCGTTAAGCGAGATCACCAAACAACTACTTGATGTAGGAGCGGCTGTGAAAGTTAAGCAATAGCCTGACGTAGGTGCAGCCTCGGGTAAGTATATGTACTCCCGGGTAAACGGGTTAAGAAAAAATACCAAGTACGAGGGGAAATTTGTCGACACAAGCAACCAACCATCCCTAGAAGGCTAGAACAAGAGAATCCATGGCCCTTTAATTCTGGAAAGTTAAACCTGTATGCTTGGGACCGTAGCCGATCTAAAAGAATGTAGTCTCCGTTTGCTTCTCCTTTTAGTGGATAAAAAAGCCAAGGATGAGGCTGTAACTTCCTGACAGAAACAGCTACTTGAAACCATGTCTTGCATACAAGAGAAGCATGTATGTTGTCTTTTAATCCAAGGCGGGATAGTATCTCTCGTAGTAGATCTGAGGGAATATTTATATTGCTTCTGACAATTATAACCAGAAAGAACAATAATTCAGGATAACTTGTGAGATAATTCATTGTGCAGAGCTTTTCAGGAAAGTGAGAGATTGGCATATGACTACCAAAATTTTAAGAAGTGATATGCATGCATAAATATAGATTTTCAATTTATTATAAACAAAACTTTATTAAACTCTTTACTAAATTGTCTACAGTCTACAGCTTTCAAAATCTCCGGCAGTAATGTTAGTCCACAGTTGCAAAATGTAAGAATATAAAGGAAGACTTCTCTATTAGAAAACAAATCTGAAGCCTTAATTCAGAGAGCATGAACCCTAGAATCTTTATTAAGAGAAGTCAAAAATAAAAAATAAAAAAAACTCACGGTGCTGGAAGTGCCTGGACAATGGGATTCACTGTAAGGTCTTCCTGGAACAATGGCGACGGAGTTGCTGAGCACATACTCAATCTCCGAAGAGTTTAAATTAAATCAGACTATTAGTGACGTACGTGATTGTTCTTGAGCTTGAACGAGAACAACAAAGTTTATTGATGAAACCAACAGAAGAAATTGGAAGAAAGCCACCAATTTTTCATAGCCAAGTCTTTCTTGTTTAAGAGTAATATTTTTTTTTTGTCAAAGGTTTAAGAGTAATCTACATCCGTGTTGTCTGGTATTTAAATCACCTTTATTGATCAGATAGATAATAGAATAATAAACAAGACGAAGTCATTAGGTGAATGGATCTTTCTGAATATTTAAGTATTGCGTCAACGACAAGGGATGTCATACCAGTTTGCCTAACTAATTATTAAAGTTTAAAAATCATTTTTTTGCTATTTGTCTTGGCTAGGGAGTCAGTGTCTGGTTCAACGACTATTGATAAATAAAATTGGGTTCCAAAGACGTGAAGAACATAAACATTAGCATGGAGTCGATTTTAGGAGAAGCAACTGAGAATACATGTTAACCACTTCAAAGGCACATTTAGAAGACATTACCTACTTTTTCAACGGAACCATTTACAATGATATCCTCCAATATATTTTTCCTTTTTTTTTCTGAAATATAGTAATTTTAAAATAAAAATGAATTTATCTCCTATGTATGTCTCTAAAATAGATTAATACTAGTTATTCTTCTAAATATATATATGAATGCCATTTGTTCTTCTAAAGAATGATAAAATATTCACCTAAAAACAGTTTTACAATAACTGTAATTTTGGTTTCAATATTTTTTGCTTGCGAAAGAAACAAAACTAGAAGCATACAAAATACTGAGCATACGAAGTTCATATTCCTCCCATTTGTTCTTCTAAAGAATGATAAAATATTCACCTAAAAACAGTTTTACAATAACTGTAATTCTGGTTTCAATATTTTTTGCTTGCGAAAGAAACAAAACTAGAAGCATACAAAATACTGAGCATACGAAGTTCATATTCCCTCTGTTTTATTTTAAGTAGTGTTTTTTTTACAAAAATTGTTTCATTTTATATGATGTTTTCAAAGTTCCATGCAAAAATAAACGTAATTTGATATTTATGACTTTTGTATTTCACAATATAACTTTTATTGGTTGAATTAGAAGTAGTGGTTGTTGTCTTTAGGTAAACAAGATAACATGAATAAAAGTTTGTATTTCACTAATCGATGTGCAAAAACCACAAAATCGATTATTTTAAAATAGAGAGAGTATTAAAACAGACTGATGTCTCCTCAAAGCCAACCAACATGAACTGCATCCCCATTCTTCTTCCAAAAAATTCATCTCCCGACAAGTGGCAGACCCAAAAATGAATCTTACCAAGATCAAATTATTTATCTATAAGAAAAAAATATATGCCACTTTTGGATTTGAACCATGGTTTAAGAGATTAAGAAGATACTTCAAGAGAATAGTTCATCAGCATAACCACTGAGTCTTAATAAATTTTATGAATAAAACAAAATTTATAGAGATTTGGGAGATGTCAGGTTACACTTCAACTCTCTAACGTGGATCCGCCACTGCCTCTGACCTACTTCGCCCATTGACGAGATCTGGTTTTGAACCAACTTATATATGTACCATTTAATATGTGATGCATTCATGTATGTCTCACCATCACCATGTGGTTGGCTATTGCCTTATCATTTTAATGTATGGATCGTAGTCTAGAATGCATGTATAGCAGAATAAGTAACAAGGTTTTATCTTTCAATAACCCAACTATCAGCTCCAGTATGTGACTCCAGTCGTTCAAATATCTTGTACTCAACATGTCCGACGTCAAATGCTTCCATATATCTTCCATGAATGAGCAGGAAAAGAACAGATGGTCCTATGTTTTCGTATGTTGATTGCACACCACACAACTTGCATCTGTTGAGTATTATTCTTTCTCCAGTACAAAGCCTATTGTGGATTTGCTATCCATGAAAACTCAGAGCGTTTAGGTCTGGCTGATGAAAACAAAATTCATTTATCCCAATCCACCTTTGGATGAATCATGCGAGTAAGCTCGTAACTCTCCTTTGAATCTAAATCTGGTTTATAATAATCACATATATCTTTCCACACACTCACATATTTTAGAAGGTGACAATAGGCTGAATGAGTCTTTATTAAGAATGTAGAGAAATATTTATACAGAGTATATGTTAGGGTATAGTATACTTAAAGTAATTACAGAATAGTCCTTATGATACATACTTATTGGCTTACACGCCCCCTCAAGATAGTGGGACTTTGAGTGACACCAATTTTGCTTCATAGTGTTTGGAATGGTGTTCTTGAGAGCGGTTTCATCAGTCCATCAGCTATTTGATCATGGACTGAAACGTGAGTGACACGTAGCTGGCCGTGTTGATTTTTTTCTCTAACAAAGTGATAATCTATAGCGATATGCTTCATTCGTGAATGAAAAAACAAATTTCGGCAGATATATTTTTGCCGATGTTGTCACAATACACTGATAGTGTTGTCGGAATGCGAACACTGAGTTCTCTGAGTAAAGAGGATATCCAGCGCAGCTCCACAGAAGTGTTTGCAACACCTCTATACTCGGCTTCAGTAGATGATCGAGCCACACAGTTTGTTTCTTTGACGACTAAGAAATAGGCTGTTTCCAAGGTAGAAGATGTAGCCGTTTGTTGAGGCATATTCATCTGAGTCTCCTGTCTAGTCAGCATCGAAAAAGGCATGAAGAGAAGCATGTTGCTGTTTACGGAGGAAGATCCCATGGCTTAGTGTTCCTGAGAGGTAGTGAAGCACTCGTTTTACAGCATTCCAGTGATCGGTCGTCGGTGTGTGCATGACCCAAGACAGACGGTTCACTGCATATGAGATGTCTGGCCGAGTTCGCGCAAGGTATTGGAATCTACCAACAACTCGTCTATACTCATGAGGATCTGAGAGAGTTGAACTGACTGTAGTGTCAACTTTGGCGATGATGCCATTGGTGTGGAGACACGTTTGGAGTGAAGCATGTTTGCTTTGGTGAGGAGATCTGTTACATACTTTCTTTGCATGAGATACAATCCATCATTAGTATGTATCACTTCAATGCCGAGGAAGTAACTCAAGTGTCCCATGTCTTTGATAGAGAACTTTCTGGACAAAGAGTCAATGACACAACAAGTGATATTGATGTGCCAGTTACTAATATATCGTCGACATACATGAGTACGTAGACATAGTTATTTCCGTGTTTATAGATGAAGAGTGAAGTGTCAGAGAGAGAGAGTTTTGGAAACCAGCAGCAATAATAAAGTGTTGTAGTTTAGCATAACAAGCTCGTGGAGCCTGTTTAAGACCGTACAAGGCTTTACGCAGCTTGCAAAATTTTTCCGGGTTGTCCGAGTCTGAGAAGCCTGGAGGTTAACATATGAAGACCTCTTCCTTAAGATGACCTTAGAGGAAGAATACGTTATCATCGATTTGTTGAACAGACCATGAGTTGTTGACGGCGAGGCCAAGTACAATTCTGATTGTGGTGGGTTTAGTAACCGGACTGAAGGTATCAGTGAAGTCAATTCCAGGTTGATGATGGTAATCCTCTGCGACGATTTGAGCTTTGTAGCGATCTATAGTACCATCTGGATGATATTTAATCGTAAAGATCCAACAACACCTGACAATGTTCATTCTTTCACTGACTTCAACAAAATCTCAGGTGAGATTTTGAACCGTGGATTTGAACTCCGCAAGCAAAACAATTCTCTACTTTGGGTGTTTCATCGCTTGTTTCCAAGTGGTGGGATCCAGTGAGGATCGTCTTGTAGGTTAGCAATGAGATTGTATTTCGTCGTGGGTTCGATAATATTATTTTTGGAGCGTGTTTTCATAGTGTCTCGCATGTGGAGCTATCAGAGCGGAAGTTGATTGTTCTTTTTGCGGGGAAGAGGCCGTGGATTCCGGTGGTGGTGGGATATCTGATTGACTAGAATCTGAACTCTGAGGTGCTGAAGTAGATGTGGTCTGCAAAAGTGATTTTGAGCTCGCTTGTAAAGGGTCTCAGCTCGAAGAGCAGTTTTTCGCAGCCGGTAACGTAGACTGTATGAGTGGCGATGGTGGGAAGATGGTTGTGTGGGGTGTTGATAAAGTGGGGAAGATATGGTTTGTTCTGGTTATTCGGTGATGGCGAGTGTGTAAGAGATTTGTAAGGGAAGGTGCTTTTATTGAATCAGACATGTGTAGAGGTATAAACTCATCTAGTAAGGGGTTCAAGACACTGATAGGCACTATGAGAGAATGCGTACCCAATGAAAACACAAAGTAGAGACCACTTTTAAAGCTTGTTGCTAGCATAGGGTCTGAGCCACGGGTAACATAAGCATCCAAAGGTACAATTTTCTGTAGTTTGGTTCGTTGTTGAAGATAAAGCGATTGGTTAGATTTGATTGGGGTAGTGAGGCGGTTGATAAGGATTACTGCAGTACTGAAAGCTTCTGGCCAGAATGTTAATGGCATGATTTCAGTAGAGAGAAGCGATAGACTTATCTCAATGATGTGTCTATGCTTTCGCTCAGAGAAGCCGTTGTGTTGAGGTGTATGGGGTGGGGTTGTGAGGTGAGAGATCCCATGGGAGGCTAGGTATGACCAAACCGCAAGAAATTTCCCTCCATTATCAGAATAGAGATGTTGTATTTTTGTTTTAAAACGGGTCTCAACAAGGGGTGTTAATTTGGTGAAGATGGAGTGGACTTATGATTTGGCAGTCAGTGGATACAACCAAGAGTACTGTGTAAAGTGATTAACAAACACAAGATAGTATTTATGGTTTTGTGATGAGAGAATTGGAGACTTCCAAACGTCTGTAAAAATATATTGTAATGGTTGTGAAGAAGCAATGGTACTCTGATGAAAAGGTAACTTTTGTGTTTTATTAAGAAGACAATCATTGCAAGGAGAAACAATATAAGTGTTTAAGTAAGGATGAGAGAATTTGGAAACAACAAATTTAAGAGTAGTTGAA